AAAAAAAAAAAAAAAAAGGTTTTGAAATTCTATAAGTTTTTTTGAGAAGAAGCTGATCCTCAAAAGCAATGATGTTGGAATCATATAAGCTAGCTTGGATAGTATTACCCTGGAAAATGAATTTGTATTAATACCATGAGAAGTTGAAGAGTTTCAGAATGAAGACAATAGATAATAATTAAATCTAAAACTTATATATGTATTATGAATAAGAGTTACCTGAGTATCCATTAATATCAAATGTTGGTACCTTCAATTACCTTGCTTTGAAGGTTTTGGTGATTGTTTTTCTGCGACAATGACCTTAGGTTTCCACTTTTGATTGTTCGAAACAATTTCTGGTATTAGTTAATATTGTTCTTCCATTGAGGTGTATTGTATTTTTTTTGGAAATGAAGGTTGAGTTTTGTTGGAAAGTCGATGAAGCAAGTATTTACGTGTGTTGAAACATCGATTGAAGCCTTTTTTATAAACAAGTGTAGTATTTTGTATAGTAAGTTGTCAATCAAAGTATATGAAAGATATTAGTGTTTATCAGGTGTGGCAAGCAAATCTTTTCTATCAGGTATGGCAAGCAAATTAGTTGATTGTTGAAATTTTATCAAGGTATGGGAAAGCAAATCAATTCAGCGAAATTTCATCTAGTACATTCCATATATACACGTAAATAAATATGATTATTTGTTACTGTTATATCTTGTGCTAGCACATCAGTTTACAAAAATATATGAATATATTACATATAAACTATAAAGTTAAATTGTAAAGTTATTATATGAGATTGTTTAATCACATAAGATTGGTCGGCTATAAAAATGTATATATTATTGGAAACCATAAAAGAATGAATATTAAATTTTTTTTACAGGGAGATAATGATGAAAGGCAAAGTCCCTATGTCGAGGAAACGATAGCGGTGTCTCCGCGTGTGGAGACCCAGGAGACAAGAGCCTCCGCATGCGCAGAGACATGATGCAGAGAATGTCTCCATGTGTGCACTTGGAGTCTTTCTCCGGTGTGGAGGTTGTCTCCAACGTCTTCGCTTGACTTTTTTGGGCTAGAAATAATGCCAGGATATTATGTTGTTTATCATGACAGCAGTGGCATTATGGTATACTCTCCTTTACAAATACACTTATGATTTAACAATATGTCTGTCACCAGAATCCTGCTTGTTTTCAAAATTATGAGTAGAAATGGAAGAAGGCAAAGAATAAACAACATCAGTAAAGAAACTTTGCCAATGACAATTAAGTATACTGTAATTTTCAACTCAAGAGTGGTAATACAAAGATGAATGAGGTAAGTCAACTAAGCACAAATGCTAATCTGTCTCATCAATAAAATGGCAAAAATTAGACACTATGCTCAGCCATGACTTTAACTATGAGATTTATAATTCAAAATGTGGAAATACATAAGAAAAAAAATGTAAAGAAAGTATAGAACAAGGAAGAGATGAACACTGTTAAACAAGTTTGCTTTATCATACACCTTTAAGCAAAGAAAAATATTAAAATAGAACAAGCGGCATTACTTAAAGTCAAATAATATATGAATTACAGGAATGTGGTACATAATAATATGCTTTATGTAATAACTTAATGATGATTCTAAAAAAACATATAGATTCTTTGTATTTGTTGAATCGAAATGGTATAAACATTGCTAAAATGAGTAATTGCTATGTATTAAATCCAAAATTTTATAATAAATGATATTTTGTGTGCAAAAGGTATGTAATTTATGTTTCACGCATGGTTTAATTAAACTTTAATATTTCCTTTTGTGCTAGCCCTGGATAATGCCACATATAATTGGTAATGTGAGAATACAGGTTCAGGAAGATATAATCAAAATCTTGACCTTGAACTTTGTTAATAGTCATAGCAAAACAAGGATGTACTGGAAATTGAGTTCTTTTAAATGACACCGACTATTTATCACTTTCAAGTGGAATGAATGGAATTCTAGGTAACAACACCTGTTTTCCACGAAATTCTCCCTTCCAATTTGAGCTAAAATTACATTTTATTTAAAGTCATGAAAAATAAGTCTAATTCCGTTGCATAAACTTTTAGAAGGATTAATATTTCTAAGCAATATAATCGGACAGTTTTTTTTCAGCACGAGTTCAAGTGGAGGGATACCATATGGAGTTAGACTATTTAAAAAATCTTCACTAATTAATCCTTCACTTTTATCAATGAATTCATCAAAACTAAAATATGTAAATTTCTCTCTTGGAATGTCTTTAAGTAACATATTATTTATTAAATCCACATATTCATTCTTTGGGGTTAAAATTATTCTATTGATCATAATACTTAAGTTGTAACCATATGATTGGAAGTTGGGAAACACAATGTTAATTAATTCTCGTAATGATTTTAATTCGTCTTCGAAATTGATAATGATATCCTCAGGAAGCTTAATCATGTGGCATGAATGTTCTTCCTCAATTTCGTTTCCAATGTTTAGTAAATATTCGCAAAAGAAATTATCTAATTTAGCTCTCATATTTTGAACTAAAGGTAGCCGTGTAAAAGAACGCCAGAAATGTGAAAAAAACTAAACTTGCCTTCATTATATCATCTTTTGTTCATCTTTGCACGACTGATAAAACTTAGCTAAAATCTCCTCCACACACAATGATTTTTCCACCAAATGGTAATTGACATTCAATAATGTCTCTTAACAATTTATCTAAAGCTTCAAAAGTATATTTATGAACTATTGGTGCTTCATCCCATACAATTAACTTAGTAATTGATAGAAGTTTACTAGGTGCAGACTGTTTGCTGACAGAACATTCACATCTGAACTTCATTCAAATGGAATTTTGAATCTTGAATGTCCTATTCGACCAGCTGGTAATAAAGATGCAGCCACACCTGACGAAGCAGTTGCTAATGCAATCATGTTTCGAGATCGTACAGCAACAAGTATTGCGTT